GGCAGAGACCTCTAATAAAGTGATGTTTTCTCGTTACGACGGTCTCTGAGGGATTCCGCAGCGAAACTGCAGAGTGGCGAAGGACGAAATAGGATAGGAGAGGCGGCGAAGAGAGAGAGAGAGAGATGGAAAGGGAGAGAGAGAGGCGTGGGAAAGTAGTCGTGTGGGCGAATGGGCGTGGTGTTGTAGCAGCTCGCCTAGGCCGTGTGGCCGGAGTGTCGCTGCAGACGGATGCCCACGGTCCACTCGGGCGCGCCTGTCTGCGGAGCGTCGCCGCAATCCTGGCCGAGTCGCCCCTGAACGCGTCTGGCCGCCGCACCCGGCCTATAAAGCACAACCGAGAGAGAGAGAGAGAGAGAGAGAGGGGGGGGGAGAGAGACGCGCGCAGAGAGGGGGGGGGGGGGCGCCCAAAAAGTACTTTTATTTTAAATTCTGGTGCAGAAAGTTGTATTTTTTGCTGCACTGTTATAACTTGGTCTTCAACTGATTAGGGAACGTGTCATGTCTATACAAAAGGTTTGCTCTTAAGTCTCCCTCTCTCGCTCTGCCCTTTTAACAATCTCTTACAACATCGGGTCTCCTTCTGCCGAGTACGGCCGTTGTTGTAGACCCCGCGCGCTTAGAGCCCCCATCCCAGCCCCACCCTACTAGCAGCATCGTGCCGCCAGATCGAAGAGAGAGAGAGAGAGAGAGAGAGAGAGAGAGAGAGAGAGAGATGGTGGAGTAGGGTGGTGGGCGGTTGGAAGGGTCACGGCTAGCGATGCCAGGAACTAAATCTTCTGGCCACAAGCTCGCACCCGCTCGCGCCCCGACCATTGGCTTCGCGTGTGCATTCATCCTCCGCTCATTTGTTTTCCCCCTCTCCCCCTCTTTCTCCCACTCTCTCGCTCTCTCCCTATCTCTCTCCGTCGCGCCCTCCGCTGCTGCGACCGCATGTTCAATTAATCTAAGTGGTGCGGTGTGTCGCCGACCTCTCCGTCTCGGGAGCAAATAACAGGAATCGCTGTGTGCGCCTCGGGCTCCCTCGCGACGCCTCCGCCGCCTCGGTGTCTTTGTGGACCGCGACATGAACCTAAACTAATGAGGTTACTGTACGGGCAAAACTGTACAAATCTGCTCCATAGTTCCTCAAAAGTCGTCTACTTCGTTGTGTGTATTTTTTTTAATTTTTTTTCCCACTGGATTATGATTGATTATACGATAAACCATCGGGGACTTGAAACATCGTTTGACCTATGAAGAACAAAATCGACCCAAGTTTGTAGACCAAAGAACGAGGGGTCCCCCACACTCCATGTGGGGTGTACAGTGAAGTACGGCGAGTGCTCGCGAGTAGGCGTTTAGGCAAATTAGCGCGAGTATTTCACGATTTTTTTCCCGAGTGAGCATCAGGTTTTCGTGAGTTGTTTTGTCATATCGAGGATCATAGATCATGAAAATCAGTTTACTTATTTTTCCTTTTTACAAATTATGTCGCGACATTATTTTGGAGTCGCTTTTATCGGCATTTTAAGGCGCTGCCTGCTCTCCCCTGTCCTGCACCGCGTTATGTCACGGTTGGAGACGTCCGGAGGGGTCCGGTGGGAAGAGAGAGAGGGAGAGAGAGAGAGAGAAAGAGAAAGAGAGAGAGAGAGAACGTGAACGAAGCAGGTTATGGGGGCCACTGCCGCCCGGCCCGGCCGGCCTAGCCGAGCTCACACCGCTCCATCAAACCCCTTTGATGATGGCCCTCTGTTGTTGTTGGGTGGG